TTCCTTCCTTCCTTCCTTCCTTCCTTCCTTCCTTCCTTCCTTCCTTCCTTCCTTCCTTCCTTCCTTCCTTCCTTCCTTCTGATGAGGTCTAAAGGTTTAGGAGTACTGGGACCCTGAGATCATGACATGAGGGTCCTGCCCAAAAGAATTTGGCCCAAACCTTCTTTCAGCCAAAGATAAGATTTATTAAAGATCTGCCATATTAGCCAGACTCTTGAGGAATCTGATAGTCTGTGAGGTATTGGCTAGATTCTAAGAATTTGAGCAGCGCCTAGATTTTAAGAATCTAAGCACCTTAATGGAGACAAGATGTACCTTATATACAGAAAGACTGTGGGAGGGATCTAGGAGTGGCCAAGTACTTTGGGGTGACTGGAAGAAGGGTCTAAGGAATATCTGAATGTGAGTGGCCAGTAAGCTGGGGTGAACAGAAGTCCTGGGACCTGGACCATGTGACCAAGGAAGAATGGAGTCCAGCTAGGATTAAGGGTGGGAAATGGCCAGGGGCTATAAGGAGGTACAGAGATTTGGGAGATTGAGTGTAGCCATAAGGCCAGTTGATGGGATTATAGTCTCAGGCGAATGTCAGAGATTTGGCCATGTGGGAAAGTCCAGGGTTTTTCCTTTCTGGGTCCAGATCCCAACCCCATCACTTCCTTACTTCCTTCCTTTCTTTCTTTCTTGGTCTTCTTGTACAAAATGACTAATAACGTTTTACGTGATTGGACATGTATAACTTTTATCAGATTGCTTACCATCTCAAAGAAGGGGGTGGGGAGGGAGGGATAGAATTTGGAACTCAAACCTTAAAAAACAAACAAACAAATGTTAAGAAATTGTTTCTGGGGAAAAATAAAATATTATTAAGAATAACATGTCTGGGGATGTTCATAGACCCCCACGATAAGGTCCTCAAAATAAATTGTTGCTTCTGAGATTACTTTCCATTTACTCTGTAGGTATCTTATATGAACCTATTGATTTGTATGCTGTCTCCCCATTAAAATGTAAGTTCGCTGAGGGTAGGGACCATTTTTACCTTTATTTATGTCCCCAGTGCTTAGGAGAGTTAGTCCTTTGTAAATGCCTGTTGCATGATTGAATCAAATTTAAAAGACATTGAAAAAAAGTTCCTTGCCCCACAGTACGGAGCTTTGATGTTTGGAGAACATTTAGAGTTAGTACCCTTTGACTCCAAAACTTAAACTATGAAATGAGGAAAAATCATAAAAATTAGATAGAAATGGGCATTTTTGGTACCATGTTAAAACCCCCACAAAGTCATAGTAACCAAAAAAAAACATCTTTTCTCGTCTGCTAAAATAAGAAATGCACCAGAAGCTCTGAAAGTCAATCAATGGATCTTGCAATATTTACTGATTTTGAAGGAGCAGCTGAAGAAATAGCTCCCATTCTAAGGCAGTTCCCTTTCAGCTGTGAGATGCTTTGTTATTTACAGCAAGTCAGATCCCTTCAGGATGGGAGCTCTTTGCAGGATTCCTACTCAAGTGTGCATACAGGCCCAGGAGAGGACATGTTCACTTTTTCACTGCCAAGACAAGAGCAATTGGCCTGCAAAAGGAACCTGCAGGTCAGACCTGAAGGCTTACCTGAGGCAGGCTGTCAAGCTGTTCCATGAATCAACCCCATCAGTATTTACTTTTAGCCCTTAAAGAGAGCTACCTCTTACTAATTAAGGTTCTGTGCACAGCTTTCATCTAATTACAGCCGTTTACTCTCACTGCAATCAATTTCAATCCTGTTTTGGAATCTAGATTTCATTCATGGGGGCCCAATCAGCACACACTTCTATTTTTAATCGATTTCAGAGAAAACTGAGCATATTTGAATTTTTTTGTAATTCCAGACATGACTGAGAGGAGTTATTTATTGATATTTTTTTGGCTGTTCTAGGAAACTTCATAATCTCTTTGACATTTTCTCTATAGGTGACAAATAGTTCAATTTTTTAGAAACCTATTAAGACATAAACACTTTCATTAGTTATCTTTAAATTTGTTCCTCCTGACTGCCTCACTCCACCCGTCTGTCTACCTAAGTCATTCCCTTCCTTACATACTTAGTTCAAGCCCCATCTCCTCCTTGAAACCTTCCCTTGTTCCAATATTTATCGAGCACTTATGTGCAAATGCTGGGGACATGGAGGCAAGCCCCAAAAGAATCTTTCACTTCAAAGACCTTGAAGCTAACATATTTATGTTGAGGAAACATCTTGCTAGCTTTTGTTTGTACTTCTAGCACTTAGCACAGTGCCTGACACATGGTGATTACTCTATCTATCTATCTATCTATCTATCTATCTATCTATCTATCTATCTATCTATCTATCTAT